CCTAAGGGCCACCTTAGCAAAGCGCATCCCAGGCTGCATAGCCGCACTACCCTACCCAACCATACCACACATAAACATGACACTACCCCCGGGGTTTACACAGACGAGCCGGCGAAGCAAGAAGAGCGCCAGAAGAAAGGGCCCTAGCCGGCGGGGCCCAGCCAGGACAAAAGGAGGTCCCACAAAGCGCCTACACCGGCCGCATTTGCGGTCGGGGTAGACGACGGATGGGGCCCACCTACGAAGGCTGTCCTGGCCTACACGAGATGAGGCAGGATAAAGAGGGATAATCCCCCTCGATCCCAAATCATTGAGGCCAATTTCTAGCCATAGAATAATGGCGCGCGGTTTATAGGTGTGGGGACAGGACGGTGCCCTGAGGGACACCGGCCTCCATGGGACGGGTGGTGGAAAGGGAATCTTGGATTTGGATGCGGAATTTTTGGTGGTGAAGGTAGGATTTTATGAGTTTGGTAAAGGATATGAACACCGTCTGCCCGCATGCGCATTTTTCAACGGGCGTATACATTTCGACCACCTGCACGTATAGTTTGACTTTCGACCAGACCTGTAATGGGTATGGCTAAATAAATGTGGTAACAAGTTTTTCAAATATTTCAATGCCAAGTTGCTCCGTAGCGACCGAGCCTAGTACATAGAGTCAAATCTTGGTTCTTCAACGGAAATCAGAAACTATACCCGTGCATTGGAATTAGATACATCCAATTTAGGTGGTCTATGGGGTATGTACTTGTACTACACATTTTATTAAAGCGTTAGACATCATCAGTTTCATGGAGATCTTGACAAAACATTTCGATCAACGTTTACATTTTCAACCACCTAATTAGATCGTAGTTTTCGCAAAACTTCTTTCAGTTTCCTAGATATTCTGTCCCTCTGATCCCACATCTATGGCACAGTCTAGATTTTATATATTTTTAAACTGTGTCTATGGGTTGTTATGTTATATGACAATGATATTTAAGGTTATGTTTACTTACGTACGAACGAAAGGAAGTTTATTAGTTAGAAAATATAAATGAGATGAAATTCTTTATTCCCTAGCAAAAAGGAAGATATTAGAAAATCCTTTTAAGGCAATTTATTAACAAAATAAATTGTTTACATGGAGAATATTGAGGAGCAACATTGTAGGCTATGCCTCAATGTCATAAGCGATGATCAATTTGAAGAGATAGAAGAAGCTACCAGAAATATTTTTGACATTATTTTATTAAATCTGGTACGTTCATTAACAGGCTTAGCCAGTAAGTCTTACTGATTATATTAATCCAATTTTTAGGATTTTGACAACTCGAATAAACACATAATATGTAACGATTGTTCACTACAGGTAAGAGAAGCATACGAATTTAAGTCGATGTGCCTCTATACTGACAACACCATAATTCCTCATGTCGATTATGAAACAGGATGTTCTGTTGACTTAAGAGAGATTTATGTAAAGGAAACAGAAAACAAGCAGCTCATGAATACATTTAACAATGATCATAAAGTTTGTCGGTTATGTATGCAGTTAACAAGCAGTGAATTTATGTCGGTACATAAATTAGAGGTTGATATGATCGAGAAATATATTCCAGAAATAGTAAGTATATAGCGACATACAGCAATATACAAAAGCATGCTGCATTTTTTAGCATTTCAATAACTATATAAAAAAATTAAGGTTGGACAGTTAAATTTTAAAAATGTACTTTTTAGAATTTCAGTGTCGTCAAAGATCCCATTATTTGTAAACGGTGCTTTGTTTCCTTCAGTACCCACAGTGGTTTCATACAGAAATGCTTAAAAATAAAAGAAAACGTTAAGAGTGTTCATGGTACGAAAGTCACTGCCAGTAAGGCATGGACTTCATCCTTAGTTTCTCCCGTTAAAGTTGAAGAGATCAGAATAAAATCTGAATTAAATGAACAGGAAAATGAGTTTATCGAAATAGGATCTGCTGCACTGAAATCTGAAGATAAAGAGATGTTGATTAAAACTGAGTCTATAGATATAAAAGCAGAAGAAAATGATAAAGAGAGGTATGTAACTCAAAATTGTTCAAATAGAGGGGGGCTAGTTCTTGGTTCGACAGACTATCTGCTTTAGCGTATTTCAGAATAATAAATCAATATTAAATAAATTGTTGAAACTAGATAAACTTTATATCACGCTTAACCTATTCACTGCAGTATGTAGTAAAAGTAGTAAGTACCCATTGCTACATATGTAATTGGCCCTGAGCTTTTAGAAAATATGGTTTTTTCTCCACCTTTGAAAGCACGTATAATTTTTGGGGCAATAGTCTCCTCACAGACTCTAATGCTTCTTTTTCCATGCCTGGAGGGAAGTTATTTTTCAAATTCGTTTTTGCAAATATAGCAGGCAACATATAGCAGGACCAACAGAGTAAAATAAAACAATATGTACCTATTCCGTTGCCATGCATTCTCCGTAATATCTTCAACTTCCCACTGTGATTTTAAAACATGACTCATAGTAATTAATTTTTTTAATACGTATCTCTTAAAATTTGTTATAGAAGAGAATAGAATTATATACATGTTGATAAAATATATTATTGACTTGTCAAATTGATTGAAACTTTTCAGTCCTCAATAAAACAATAAACTGATCAATCATGATTCAGATTGAATGGTGGATTTTGTATTTTTGACATAGGATTTGTAATCGTAACTCCAAAAATCCGGTATAATAATGCTTTATTGCCCAACAATCAAGACCAGTAATAGGACAATTACATATAGAACAATAGGTAAAGTAATAATGACTAATAAATAGAAAAAAAAAACTGAGAGAATAATTTATATAACTAACAGAAATCTTCATCTACAGTACCTGAAATGATTAATAAAATAGATTTTAAGCTGGTATGATTTATATCACAGAGATGGGACACCGTATTAAATAAGTTGCACATATTGTATACAGGAGACTTAAATAAAAGATTAGTTCTTCTTCGTAAGCAGTAAAAAGTATCGGTATTTCTAGAATTATGCATAGGAACATGAAAATTAATTTTACTCAAAAGCTCAGGACAATCAGTTTGACCATTTAACAGGAAGGAAAGTGACTGAGTTTAATTTTCTCCTCAAATCCAAAGTTCATATATACCTAGTTATTATTTACTCCTTATGTAAACTTGTACGACCGAGCGCAAGCCCGCCATCTGTCTATAATAAGCTAAAGTTTAAGCTGCCTCATAATTTCTAGATGGCAGGCGAATGAATTCTATTAATTTGACCCATTCATAATTTAGGACCTGTACACTGTACAGTAAGAATGATTTGGTTTATTCCGCACTTCGCGCCTACATTTTTCATCTTACTGACACGTATTCCCGTGCTACCTAACTCAAAAATGTTGTTACTTATTTACAGGGTGCTAACGCAAAAACCGCTCATCACCTCCGTTATTTTATTTGATACGAGAAACACCGGTAATGTAAAACTTACCTATACTGGTCGCATTTCAGGAGTCAGACACGTAATTTATCATTCCTCACCACATATCTCTAAATATAAGCTTTTTTGCGAGCGAAGTCGTATGTTGTAGTATGTGTGGTGCGAGTGAGTGAAGAGATTTCAGGTACCATATGACAACTAAGATTAAAAGAGATAGAAATAGGAACTACAAATCAGATATTCACTAATATTCAGTCGCCAAAAAAAGGCTTATCATTTTGAAGACATCTTCAGTGTAGTAAAGTAGACTACAAAGTAACATGTCGCATTAAAAACAATTATTTCTTGTAATTTAGTTTTATATATAGTGTAAACATTTAGTGTAATATATAGATTTTGATAAAAATATAATGAATATACAGGGTGTCCCAGAGCTATTTTGACAAGTGTTATCTGGGATGTTGTTCTGCATATTCTGTTACAAAATAATTAGTTACAGGAATAATTCTTAATTACTTTCAGTTTTCCCTGCCATTTTGATACTTTCTGGTCAGACATTTTATTAAAACAACTTGTATAGGTGTCTGAATAAGATCACATAATATTTTTTAATAACGCATAAAACTGCACAATTAGTTATTAGTTAATTTGTTTATAAGGCCTAAGGCCATAACTTGTAAACTATTCAATTTAGTTATTATACAGTGATTAGGAATGGGAGGATGCGATGCCAAAACGTTCTGGTAATAATAACACAAATGTTTAATTCAAAAGTGATACATAAACTTCTTATGTTTATAACTTTTGATCTAATCAATATTTTTTTACGCTCGAGGGCTAGTTTTGTAGACCTTTTGAAGACGAAAAAAAAGTACTTTAATTTTCTCGTGGAAATGAACGGAAAAAAGTTATAAGCGAAAAACGTGAATTTACGTAAAAATTATACAATTAACGACCCTGTAAACAATCTTCCCCCCCATTTTTATGACTGTGGAAACTAATATATTATTGTACATAATATTTAGCATCGATAGTGATAAATTCAGCTTGCCGAAACAAAAAGTCACGTCCAACTCTATATTTCCTGGCCTAATATAAAAATTTCAAATTAGAACGAGTTATTTAGGAAAAAAATTCTGGAAATGTCGATTTATTCCCATATATTACGCATATTGTATTGTTTAAATTAAATCTACCAATCCTGACAGGTAAAATATGCAGTGTAATTACTAAATAAAAGTGATTTTTACTGCAAGTACTGATGTCTACGCGATGAATGTCAATCAAAATAAATGCAAAACAAAAACTTATTAAAGTTTCTAACCCACACTGAAAAAACTGTATGCATATTTATTGAATAATTGTTGTGTTTTTATATATAAATTATGTTTGAAACAGTACCAGAACCAATTTTGTACTATTTTTATGCATTCAATTTGTGGTATTTTTACACACAATTTCTGTTCAGTATTTCTACAAAACTTATGCGATAAGATTTACTGAATTTATGCACAATTTTACTGAAAAATACACAATTCTGCATTTAAAGCAAATTATTTGTGCATATAAATTAAAAATCATATGTAAATATGTACTGCTTTCAAAACTGCATAAGTTTCTATATAATATTAAAAGAAAGTATTCAATACAATTGAGTAAGTGATATACAATTCACTGCAAAATTTAAAAATACTCCTATTAAATAAAATATTATACAATAATTGTGCTAATTTTATGCACAATAACGATTGCATAATGTATTTTGAAAATATGTATAGCGATTTTTTAGCAAATTTTCAACGTGATTTACTGCAATTGTAAAAAATACATTTATTTCCTCGGTAACTCATTGTAAATTATTATTTTATTATTTATATTTGTATGTACTTCGGTACCGCGCTCTCCCTTTTTCAAATCGCACGGTGTCACGATATCACTGTGTTACGCTTAGCCTAGACAAACACAATCTGCGCGCGAACTCACAAATCCAGTCAGAACCAGCGTTGCCAGATGGGAGAACATTACATCTTTTAGAGGTTTTTTTCACATAAAGGGGGGGGGGGGGATTGTGTTGAACAGAAGACATTTTATCATCCCAATGATTTACATTATCCACACTCTCGCACGGCTTTACGTAGATGTTGGTATAACAGGGTTCGTAGTGGCCGGGAAAACCGGGAATACCGGGAAAAGTCAGGGAATTTGTTATTCTTCATAAAAAACAGGGAATAGTCAGGGAATTTTAAAAATATTCATGAAAGTCAGGGAATTTGATGTTTGCAACTGGAAATTTTGTGAAAGCCGACCCTGGGTTCTTGAAAGAGAAAACTATTTGTGGTTTTGAAACCTTTATAATAGGTTGTTAGGGTATAAAAAAGATTTTGGAGTCCAGTCGAAAAAAAATTTAATGCATAAACACCAATTAGTATGTAAAAATGAACTACAAGTGACCTGGATTTTTTTTTATAAGTCAGGGAAAACCTGGAAAAGTCAGGGAATTCTTTATTACTTTTGAACTATGAACCCTGTATAATTGAACAAAAAAAAATTAAAAGAAAACAGTTTTTAAATTTTAGCACAAAATTATTATAGGTGTTTAAATTTTAGCGGGAAATTTTATTAGGACGTCTGATTATGAGATTACAGATATTTTATTTTTTTATGTAATGGGAAATTGCAACATTAATATTATCAGAATAATATGCAACAGATAAATTGTTATTGTTATATTGTTAATTGTTAAAAATTGTTAATAAGCATTATCTATCTTAAAACATAAATTTTTCAGAAATTTTCTTTGCGGTTTTTCAAGTAACTCTATGGCATAAATAGAATGGATTCCAAACAGTAGAGCAGTATTCTAGTTTATTTCTAATATACGAAAAATATAAAATAATGAGCGACGCGATATTAGTAAACGATTTACGGTTGCGAAGTATAAAACCGTAATCCTTCATTGCATCATCGACCTTGGACACGATATGACATGAAAAAGATAATTATAACAATATAACTATAACAATAAAAACTTATTTTTTTTTTCGATGCCTCAATCATCTCTGCCTCACTGATGTTTTTAAATGAAATACTACAATGCCAAAGTCGGAGGAACGTTGGTATGATTATTAATCTTGGGTTCAGCAAAAATGCTGTGAAAAAATTCTGCAAATGCATTAACAATAATTTGTTGATCATTTATTGTTTGACCGTTATAGTTCATACTTCCAGGAATTCTTGTGGATCGGTTTTTTGAGTGAATAAATGAGCAACATTGCTCGGGATGATATAATCATTATAAGCCAATCCAGAACAATGCTTAATATATGCTCACAGCTCTTTATATTCACGCAAAAACTCATGGCGACCAGAATTCTTAAACTGCTTAAAGCACCGTGCCTTCCTCTTAATACTCTTAATCATGTCAGCCGTCTACCAAGGTTGATATTTTCGTTTAAATACTTTAAATTTCGGAACAAAACTATTGAAGATAGCATAAATTTTGCCATAAAATAAATCAAGTGCAACATTAACATCTATTATATTCTTTAAAAATGACCAGTCAATATCCATCAATGCACCATACAATCCCGCAAAATCAGCTTTTCTAAAGTTATAAT